GGCTAGTTCTCTAGTCCCCACAGGCCAGATATCCTACTCACGACCTGCGTGGGGAGGGAGTAGGTAATCTTTGAGGTGTGGTCCAGCTGGAAATAAAGGCTAGGAAAGTCATATTAAGAAAAAAAAAAAAACACTACTGTGGCTAGGGCTCAGTGGTAGAGCACTTGCCTGGCATGAGTGAGGCACTGGGTTTGATTCTCAGCACTGCATATAAATAAATAAAATAAAGGTCTATCAACAACTAAATATATACATATGTGTGTGGGGTGTGTGTGTGTGTGTGTGTGTAAAAGAAAATAAACCCCAAAAAAGGCAACTATATATATTCAAAGTGGGGGCATTGGCAGGTGGAAGAGACCTGATAGGTCTGATGAAACACATCAAAGGGATTTAGTGAGGAGCTTCTTCAGGAAAACAGGATAAGAAAGGGGGAAGAAAGTTGTTTGGGGCTTGGCAGGTTATGTCCATCTCCCAGTGGCTGCATTTGAACCTAGGGTTGTGAGCTAAGGTAGGGTGCCAGCATAATCTGGCTTTTTCCAATGGGGAGTTTCACCAAAGAGTTCCTAGAGAACTAGCCTCCCTGCCTTATGATGGCTCAAACAAACCCATAATTTATACATGGCYTCCWACACTGAGTGGCTTGGGATGGGGTTCCTGTAAGAGTCCACAAACTGATTAGTGAGATATGCGGTCTTTTGTTGTGTTTCAGCCCCTGATGGCTTCAAGTCCCTACTGCACCCATCCTCTCCCTTTTACACAGCCATGCTCATCCCCTCGTTATTTGGGGTTGGGAGAGAAGGAAATGGGCCTCTTGGGAAGCATCCTTTAGAGCTTGGGGTGCCGGCCACTTATTCACTATGCTCTCACTTTCTTCCATGGGAGGCTTCATGGGCTGAAGGGGGTTCATTATCACTGAGCTATGCTACCCTGGGGAAGGGGTGATGCAGGTAAGGGGAAACTTTCTTCTTACCCTCTTTACAACATCTATTTTTTGATTTTCTTATCCGGTGAAGTACAGAAACTTCACTGAAGTCCTATTTTCCATGAGTGGTTGTAAAAATTGCCACACTGTGGGAACATGACAGAATAAAACTCTTATTCTTTCATCTTGCTGATGTTACTTGTCAATTCCAGCTCTCTTACACTTCATCTTGGTTTGACAAGATACATATTATGGACAGAGCCACTGAGCAATCAAATATAATCCCTTGGTCCTAAGACTGGAAATCCAACTTGGAAAGCAATATATTATATCAACAAAACATCTCAGAGGTTTGCTTTCCTGAGCTTAATTTTAAGCCAAAGTTTGAAAAGGTCACTGGCCCCAACTGGTACTTTCTCTTTTTTAGTAATAAACCAGATTATCCATCTCCTGCTTAAAGTCATTTAATTCACCCCCATTTCATTTTAAATAAAAATTTAAGCTTCTATCCATAATCCACCTCCCATCCTTACCCTTCCTCACTAAACTTCAGATTGACTTGTTCTTTTGTCAATTCCTCAAACATGGTACATTCTTTTTGCCTCAAGGTAACAAGTAAAAACTAAACTTGCGGTTTCATCTGCCTGAGACTGTCCTTTATACCTATCTATGAAAAAGTCTTAGCACAAATGTGTTACCTCTCAGACTTGTGCTTTCTAAAAGAAGTCTTCTCACATCAGTTATTAACTATTCCATGCCTATTTTCTTCACAGAGTTTGCCATGATTCATTTGCTTACTCATTTAGCATTCACTTCATAGATATGAATGAAAAATTCTCATGCATAGCAACCAGCTAGTTTTCTGGTACCAGTGGTTAAGTACCTAGTATTGTAGAAACTCAATATATATTTGTCAAATATTGCATTGATGAGAATCCCACATTCATCTTCTTCTTTGGGTCCTACCTTTCTTGATTTTATCAGGGTCTCTACGGCCAATGAGCCAGTTTACTATTATTTCCTACCTAAAACCTCCTTGAAAATATTCACCTAGAGTGAATGGACTAGATATTTAGAATTAGAAAATTACTAAGACATTCCAAACTCAACAAAACCTCAAAACTCAATTTGATTTTAAGACTTTTTCAATTATAGCATTCATAAAGGAAATATGAAAAATATGCTTTATTTTGTGTAACAATTATATATTAAATCCTCACACGAAGCCACAAAACCAAATATTTAGTAGAAACACCTTCTGAAAATCCAAAGTATTTTGTCCCAGTATTAACTCTATTCTATTAAAGAGAAACCTAATCTTAGCAGAAATAATCACATTTTTTTCTAGTTTCCTGAATCATTAAGCTTATATTTTATACTAAAATTATCATAACATATACAAAATTGAAATATAAACAATAAAAATCTGAAAGCAAAGGGGAAAGAGTGGAATTTTTAATAGTGAAAAGGATGGATTTACATTGAAATTTTTAATTTTAGCATGGTGAGTTTTCTTCATCAAATTTATATAATTTCTTCTTTAAATGATCACTTTCATAATCAAATACTAATTAATAAAATGTCATCATGCAATTACAACTACAGTTAAAAATTGAAACATAACACAAGCACAGGAATACTACAGTTTTTTTTCACAATGAACAGAATATAATAATTTCAATAATTCAAAATTTCCTTTGGCTGATAATACATTTATTGTATAATCTTGATTATAATTATGTTTGGTTTGTGTCAAACATGATATGAAGAATAGCAAAAGTCTCCTTGCCTTAGCACTACCTATTGGGAATATGTAAGAGGTCAGAATTAGGGTCTGGGATTGTAGCTCTTGCCTTATATGTGTGAGGCACTGGGTTTGATCCTCAGCACCACATACAAATAAATAAATAAAGGTATTGTGTCCATCTATAACTGAAAAATATTTTTTTAAAAAAAGAGGTCAGAATTTAAAAGATACTAGAAGAAAAAGAAAGATTCTTAAATTTCTTTGATAATCAATTAATATAAAATTATTTTTTAAGTTGAAATATGTGTGTGTGTTTGTATGTGTATRTGTGTCTTTGTTCTCAGATTCTCTCCTTCACAGTTAGGTCTGAACTCTCTTACCAAATTCTGGCTTTTGTTGTGGTTTTGTTCTCTACACAAAGGTAAACTTCTAGAACTAGAACCATGTATCCCACCCATCTTAGCATACCCTGAAATGTCTAGTTCCACATTCTATGCTTGCTAAAATGTGTGCCTACATATATGGAAGAGAGACCCAAATGGCATACTTTCTTTAATGTCTATTTTATGTCTCAGAAGTATGATATTATAATAGTAAACCCTGTATCTGCATAGGAATTGTCAATTTTCTTAATTATGCTCTTATTTTATTCTCAACAACAATAGTGTGAAATAATAAGAGCAGTATTATTTAGGAGGAAACAGGCATGGGCACTTAAATATTTGCCTTAAATCACAAAAATATTGGTAAATCTTTAGCCTAAAATCATCCAAGCAGGTGGTACAACTCGGGTGGCCAAGGGAGAAGGATGGAGCCTAACCTCAATAACTTAGTGAGACCCTGTCCCAAAATAAAAATAAAAAAGGGCTAGGGGTATAGCTCAGTGACAGAGTACCCCTGAGTTAAATCCCCAGTACCTCTCTCTCTCTCTCTCTCTCTCTCTCTCTCTCACACACACACACACACACACACACACACAAAAATGACTAAAATATACATCCCTTGCCTTCATTAAACTCATTTATTTCTTCTAAATACACTCAAAATGCCTTTCACAGAACTAAAAATTATGAACTTTGTTATAAACAAAAAATAATAATATCAATCAGCTTTTGAAAAACCCATCATGACTCAGTTTAAATCAAATTAATCTTCAGTTAAATTATACAGGAAATAACAGTTAACCCATATGGACAAGTCCCCAGTGTTAAGCAAAATCGCTGAAGGCGTATTTGAAGGGTGCTCCCTATGTGTCAACCCCTTTGCCAGCCACCCTTAATAAAGGGTAAGTGAAAATTAAACCCTGTACAGAACACTCCCCACTCCTTTGCTCATCATGGATTTAGTATGACTACCTACACAGTACCTTACTAAAGACTGCYCTCTTGTCACCTTGTCTTTATGCTGCTGCATGGCAATGAAATGATCAGAGTGATGTCAACAGTGGGGCTCCTTCCAAGGACCTATGACCTCCTGGAGGTGTTCATGCTAATACATTGGAGTCATAGATTCTGTTGTTGGGTTTTCCATCAGAAAACAGTGCACAGCCCAGCCAAAGCAAACTACCAAGGCACTGGGGAACATACTGGAAAAAAACAGATTTTTTTCCCCTCACATTTACAGTCTTATTTATGCATAGTTGAAACCAAATCTGTATTTTTTAAATCACAGACCCCAAATGCAAAATAACGAAAAATCTAAAATCCACGGAAGTAAATATGGAGCCAAGAGAGATACAAATGTAGGTATTGCTTACTAAACAACAAAATAATAAGATATAAGAGAGCAGGACTCTCCAAGTTGTTTGAATATTTCAGTTTTACTAAGAGCACGGAGGTAAAGCAGCATTTCTGATAAGGCTTTATAAAGAGTGGATTGGGCTGGGTCAATAGGAACGTGATGACTGGCGCTGTGGGGCAAGGGAAGTGGATGTGACTTCATGACTAATCATAGCAATAGCTGTATTTTTAATCCACAAAAGCCAGCAAGCYTCACGCCTGTTCTCATGAACACAGAGTACCTGTGGACAAAGTGGGGAGTGGGGTAGCRGCAGGTGCCTTAAGCCCAAATGCCAAGATGTCACGACGATGTCCCCTGGAAGCATGCAGTCCTTATTCCCAAAATAGAAATGAATAGGTCCAAGGACAGGCCCTCTAACACTATGCCCCAGCCATTTTAACCTAAGACTCTTCAGTATCATTTGCTATAATTATCAGCTTGAAATAGGACATGCATGTCTTCCTAAATATAGAGAGAAGCCACGTGTATTTGGATGTCAGTGTCTTTAATGTACCTTCAGCATGATAGCAGTGTTCAGTAACCCTTCACGATTAAATCTCAGCTCTCCCTAAACACACCCTCACCAGACAAACCAGAGGAACATTGTGCAAAATCTGGGATCATTTTATTTCCACTTTGAGAAAACCCACAGGAAGAGCCAGCTTCCAAAACAGGCAAATGTGGAAGAAAATATTAACATAAGGAACAGATCATTCTTTCAAATATTTGAGGTACTCAAAGTACGTTTTATTTGTGTRTATCAATAACTACTTCAGGAACAGACCTCATGAAGATGGGGGGTGCCATGGTCATTGTGTTATTATTCTCATAATACAGATGAATAAATTTCATATCAAAAATTTAAATAATTAATTGAAGGTACAGAAACAGCAAGTAGTAAAGCAAGATTTATTTGCAGGACTGTCTTTAGTAACTTGTTCTCATTCCTTTTATCACGTAGCCTCTCTGTCTCTCTCTCTCTCTCACTGTCTACTCGTCTTTGTCCTTTCTGTCATTTTAAGCATCATTTAACATATAGTATGATATAGAAAAATCTGTACTAAGAGCTATAATATAAATGGGTAAGACAGGTATAAATTGATTTRTAAACAGAAATTTCACTGAAATTTGACAAACCACATTTCAAAGTGTCGAGTACACTTTTTCCCATAATTTGGCATTACACTTTAAAAGCATTGTATAAAAGTTAAAACATTTTGTAATAGTAGTGCTTTCCAGGAAAAAAATGTTATTGAATAATTCTGAATTATTAGATAATAATTAGCAAAAGTGTTTTTAATCTCCATGCTTGACACTTTCAATACAGAGTCAACGGTGGCGTAAACATGAAATATTTCTTGGAGTTTGCTCTGAGGATGACTAAAGTGAACCCTCTCTATCCCAGGTCGAGGAAGCAGGACCTCTCATTTCACATTTATGCTTTTTCAAAATTTTAAATCAAACTCATAAAGTCCCTACTATCTGTATATTTATTCATTAACATCAAACACTAAGACCAGAAAGTTGAGAAAAGAAAGAAAAGCAATTCATGCTCCCAGGAGCCCAGAGACTACTGAGGCAGGAGAAAGGGCAGGAACCTTGACAACAGATGTCACAGAGGACCTGTAARATGAGAAGTGAGGAGCATCTTCAGCTTTAAAGTTAGGAGGCCAGAGATCTTCAGGGAGAGTTGGTTTAGTGTGGTAGAAGGGACAGAAGCCTTGTGAATGCTGAGAGTAGCCTGGGTTAGCCCAAGGATAGCCATGTCAAAAACTAACTTGAAGCCCAGTGTTTTCATTAGAAAATTACTATGACAAAGACAGAAGACTTTATCACCATCATCATCATTATCACATCATCAAACAACTCTCCTAAATTAAAATCCTCAATTTTTTGCTTTCTTTACATCTGCTCCTTACTTTTCTCTAGTCTATATATGCTAAAACTTGACCTTAAAAACGRCTTACTTTTTTCTAGACTATATGGTCTGTAATATAACTTGACCTAAAAACTCTGGGTCAGTATAGATGTCACGAAGTGCCCTGTTCCCATCTGTGTGTTAGATAGGCAATCATTAAATGCAAATCAAAGAGGCAGTTAGTATATGAAGGCTGTGTTTAATTAGAATTGACCCGAGTCTAAACAATGAAGAATGAGAAATGCTGTGGGTAAAAATTTGCCCAAAGAAATGAAGGTCCCTAGGTACCTAAATCACAGATTTATGTCTTAGATACATAATTTTAAAAGGTGCTTTAGTTCTAAGGGGTTTGGTTTTGTTCCTGCAGCAGGAACCCTCCCCGAAACTGAACTGGCAGATCATTTCTTTTCAGGGGAGCTGTTTGAACCAATCAGGACACAGATAATCTTATTAGCCCTCTGTGGGCTTGTGTTTCTTTTGATGAGAGTCTAGAGAAGTCATGGGTAATACTTGGCCCTGTGCCAGGGACCGCTTGTGTTTCAGTTGTACAAGGTCAGACCTTAATTTATCCACCAACTGGATGCTTAATTTTAGATACACAGAGGAACACATTGGCTCCAGGGTACTTCCTCTGGTTTAGAAAGGCAAGTCTCTGGATAAGAATGACAAGATGATCATTCCAAAAGGTGAGATTATGAAATATTTAATCTGTACCTTGCCAACTATTTTATGGAGTAGTTCAGTATTGGAAATCTTTAGAACAGATGGAAATGCTGGTTGTGGCTAATGTTTCTTTCCTAATGGTAACCTGTAGGCATGCCTATCTAGGGCCTTTTTAATTATAAGAGTAAAGCCAGGATTGTCTTGTTTATTTAGAGACTATCAACTCAACTGTATAATTATTAAGCATTACAAAAAAATATATCATGAAATAAGCTCAAGAATGAATATGCTAATAGGAAGTGTCATTATACATTATAAGGAATCCCAGAAGGGTCTTACCTGACCCCTTAGTTACTGAAAAAAAATTAATTTTTTGTAAATAATTAAAACAAATCTCTATCATATTTTTTAATTAGTTGTTGCAACAGATAGATGTTCAGATTGAAAAAAAAATCTGTTAAATTAAGATGGTAAAACCCCAAACTTAATGTGATTTAAAAATGTTCTTCCTGAAAATTATACACAGTTTTGAAGCTGAAAGGGCCTTAAAATTTACCTGATACCATYGCTCATCTGATACTCTATTGAACAACTTCTAAGGAACCTTCTACATCTAAAGTGATTTGATTTTTGTGACAGGGCAGTGATGTGAACAAGGGAGTCCTGCCACTGCTTTGTGCTGAGAGAATTTAAATTATGGTGATAAAATAATCATAATTTTATATCTAATTGTTTTATAAGAATACCTTATTCTCAAATGAAAAGGTCTCTAAAATTTTTATCTCTCCACCACAGTTAGATGAGTTTGTGAGTTGTTTGCTTAAATTCTTTCAGAAAAGTTTTTTTTTTCCCCCTGAGGCTTATAAAATTCTAGGTTACCAAATGAGACCCATTCTTCATTAATTCCATCTGAGTAAATGGGTCATCAGCCACAGTGTAGGGACTTAGCTTGTGTGACATTTATTGTCAGATGACTGGGTTGAAGATTACACCATTCCCCAAACGTGTGTGCTAGGTAAATTGCCTAACTACCCTGTGCTTCAGTTTCCTTATCTGAAACATGGGAGAGAAGTCTGTCTTCTGTCCTTAAAATTGAATGCATAATCCAAATCCATTATGCACATAGTATCTGCCTCAATGAATGCCAGTTGCAATAATTATTAAATTTACTCTAGYAGATATACATTGAGGATCTACTATGTGCTTGACTTTATGCCAAACCCTGAAAGAGAGGGAACAGTTTGGTATTGTTTCAAGGAGAAAAGTCTAGAATACATTTTTTAAAGGCRACTCCCTGGGGGCATGGACCCTCTGTGGCCGTGTCTGGCACTATTCCTGAAACCTAGCAGACAGTAGACACATATTTTTGAATGCAAAAACACAATGGTCTGAAAATCTTTAGGAAAATAGAGTCATTGAAAACTGGTAGGTCAGTTCTGCTCCTTCATCTCTTTGAGTAATTGAGCAGGAAGGAGAGCAGATACTGTGCATCCATATTTTAGTAACATATCTGACAGAATCTGTCCATGATGGTTATCAAATCGGAGCCATGAGTGCYGAATCGAGGTGTCTGTAGGAGGATTTGTAGCTGGATAAACAGCTTTTCTCCAAGGATGCTAAATAACGGATCAATGTCAACCTGGAGACCTCTGTCCTGCACCAATAGCTGTTCAACATTCATCATTGTCAATGAGCAGAAGCACATATAAAACATACTTATTAAGTCCTAGCAGAGGAATAAAGGCTCGATCTTAAAAGGATGAAATGTAACAGGAATAAGTAGAGTCTTGCATGAAACTGCACAGAAAAGAATTGTAGGTAATAATACAACTCGTAGAACTGGGGGCTTCCAAATCAAGTGTAACATGATACCTCCAAAATTCTAAACTGGGTAAAATTAGTAGATATAGAGTGTCTAAAGAGAGGGAGGTGATCATACCCACTTAATACTGTGTTGATCTGACCTTAAACCATGGCATAGGAAAACTCACTGTCCAGACTTGGAAGGAGAAGGCTCAGCAGAGACCAGACAACCTTGGGATAGTTAAAGGGGATCTCCTGTTCCAGAGAAACAACACTGTCTTAATACGGTTCTGAGGGAAAGAAACAAGGACCATCAAAAAATGATTTCAATATATGGATTCAGTTTCAGTATTTTCCCTAATTGTTGAAGCTGGCCAAAGGCAAAGGGCTGTGGGGGTAGAGTTGGGAGTAGATAAGTTCCTTTGCACTTTGGATTCAAACTGAGGCTGGCCAATAACTTGTAAAGGGTTTGACAGTAGGTGGAGCTATCTGATGGTTTTTAACTCTGAASTTTGGCGATTCCAGGGAGAAGGAAGGAGAATAAAATTATGGGGATATCAGAGGATATCAAGACCTAGAATAGAGCTGAAACTGCCCCTAAACAACCTAAGATCCTATTTCTCCATTCCAGAGGAGAAAAAAGAGCAGGCAATGCTAATTGAATGTTTGTGACATGTCTGTGACATGTCAGACACGGCTCACCAGGCAGCTAATGCAGGCAGACCAGAAGTGGAACAGTGTTCGATCCCTATGCCCTTTTGCCTCCAGCAGAAAGAAGTTCATGCTTGTACATAATTTCAAAATAAGAAACTAAGAAATGCAGTGACTCATTACTGTTTGAGTGAGTTTCAAATGGAAAAAGATTTGACTTAAGTAAAGATTTGACGGAAACTTTTGTTATGTTCAATAAAATGCACCATGCCCAGGAACAATTTTTTTAGAGAGAAGATAAGTTTATGAATGTGTGAATGAATAATTATATATATTTTATAATACTTTTTAAGATCTAGAGATACTTAAATTTTTACTGTTATTGTAACTAATTAATGCAGTCAAAGCAATCTTACCCTACGACTCAGTTGTACGAACCAAAATTAGCTTTTTTATTATCTGCAACTGGCCTCACTGTCCTTGGAAGCTTCCACTCACTWATCAGTGAAAAATAAACTTTTAGTCCTATGCAAGCAATATGATAGCTTAGGTTTATGAACTTGTACTTGGCTGATTCAGGTTCAGCCATTAGTCTTTCAAATTTCTGCTTCTGCTCAAGCCAAGAAATTCTCCCCATCCCCACCCCAGGTTTCTGCTTTGCTATAGATGTGGGCAATTTCCTCTCTCCTGAAAATTGACAAGGTTTCTGGCCATCTCATACCAGTCCATTTTCATAGAAGGCTTGTAAATTTTCACTTCACAGAGTCAATCTCAATTTCCTTTTCTGTTGTTCTTGTTGGTGGTGAAAACATTTAAGACCTACCCTGCTAGCGTATTTCAAATATACAGTTCAATACCTTTAACTAATAATAATAGTCACATTGAAGTACAAATGACCAGAATTTACTCATACTGCATAACTAAACTTATAACCCTGGGCCAACATCTCCCTACAGTCCCTCTTTCCAGCCCTTGGCAACTAACTCTCTTCTAGGAGATCAATTGTTTCCACGAGTTGAACATTTTTAGATTTACATATCTATGATATCTTGCAATATCTGTCTTGTTGTGTTGACTGATTTTACTTAGCATACTGTTCTCCAGGTTCGTCTTTGTTACCACAAATGCCTAATATCCCATTGTCAATTTATAGCAAATTTTCTTTATGCATTCATCTGTCAGTAGACATTTAGATTCATTCCACATCTTGGCTATTGTGAATAATACTGTAATGGACAAGGGAGTGCAGATTTTAGTCCTTTTGGAAATAAAACCAGAGGAGGAATTATTAGATCATAAACTAGTTCTATTTTTAAATTTCTGAGGAACTACCATACTATTTTCATAATGGTTGTAGCAAAAAAAATGTGAAGTGATGAATATTTTAATTAGTTTGTGGTAAATATTTCACATGTATAACTATAAATATACACATATATTTAATCATTAGGTTTTACATCTTAAATATATGCAGCTTTTTAAATTGTCAATCTTGGTTACTTTAACCTCAATAAAGTTGAAAAAAAAAGTCAATCTTAGTTCAGTAAAAGTGGTTGGTCATATCTGGATAAGTGAGCATCATTCAGTTTACCTGTGAAATTAAGAGTTTATTCTTTGTGTATATTAGTGTGAATAATGGGTCATTCCATTGCTTGTGTGTGCAATAATGTTTATATGTATTGCCTATCATTAGGCATTTAGGTTGTTTGTAAGCTTTTGGAAATTTAAATACAACTGAGATAAACATTCTCACATACAAATACTTTCCTACATCTCTTATTATTTTAAAGAATAAATTCCTGGATGTGGAATTACAGACAAGGACAGAAATGTTTAAAATATGATCACACGCGCTTGTAATTAAGGCACATCTGCTAATAGGCTTTCAGGCCTCATCCTTGTCCTACCTTTTTTTTTTTTTTTTTTTAGTTGTAGATGGACACAATACATACATTTATTTATTATTTGTTTTTATATGATGCTGAGGATCAAACCCAATGCCTCACATGTGTTAGGCAGGTGCTCTACCACTGAGCCACAAACCAGCTCTACCCTACCCTTTTTAATTCTGTAAAGTTATATTCCCCTGGGAATCCATGTGGTTGTGAAACTAAAACTTCTGTCTATACATTTATAGTTTTCAAAAGCTAATATGCATCTTCCCGTGTTTTTCTCATAGTTGAATTTGACTTGGAAATCAATAGCAGAAAGTAGAAAAACTCTAATTTTGTAATATGCAACTAGAGATAAGTAAAACTAGTATGACCGGTTCTATCATTAGTGTATTTACATAGAAATTAATCATTAATCAATGTGGCCCCAAAATTGAAAGTGAGTTTTGCAAACAATAAATGTATGACCTAAAGGGAAAGCATGTAGTTAACCTGTTCTTTGGGTAATTTTAAGAGCAGTGTATATTTGATCCTTTGATTATTATTCATCCATCCAGGACTTCCCAAGTGCTCATCTATGGTAGGGAGTGAACTTAGTATCTAGAGATCCATTGGTCCATTTTGCCTTTTTCTAACCTTTTCTGAAATGTCAGCTTGCATTTCTTTGAGGCAGCACAAAAGTAGAGTGTGTTTTCTGATTTAAGATTCTATGTACATGTGTATGTGTATTTTGTGTGTTTGCATGTGTGTGTGAAATGTGTCAGCAGAAAATTTTGTGCTCTCAAGTAAGATGCTGTTTGAACTGATCCTAGTTGTCCCCATCATCTGTAGGCTTTTTTTCTGAAGTGGAAAAGGCAAAATGCCACACAGAGGGAATTCCAATAACATATTACTTGTAAAGTTAATGGTGACTGTGGGTAGAACCAATTGTCCCTCTGAGAACTCTTATCAGACTAGCTGACTCTTTTGCTAAAATCAGCAAAATGAAATCATTTACTTGATTTTTTCACTTTGTGCTACACAAGTCTAAAAAAATAAGATGTGGAGCCACCCAATAGTCACTAAAGTTATAACAATTTTATCTGTATTATTTCACTCTATCTTTAAAATTACATATATAAATGGTCAAATTGCATAAAATGGGACTGAACATTATTTAGTATATAATAACTGTTTTCCTAACAAAATCAAAAAATGAAAATGTCCTAATTTGACCCTTACTCTTCCTCTGATAGGAAAAAATCCTGATGATTCTCTGTGGGACCTCCAGTAGATGAGTCCATTGTCAAGAACCATTGTGTTGTCAAGGTAAAAAAAAAAAAAAAAAAAAAAAAAAAAAAAAAAAAAAAAAAAAAAAAAAAAAAAAAAAAAAAAAAAAATCCTGTGTAAATCAGGCCCTGCATTCCACACAGCAGAAGCTTGCATTTCCTTCAGAAACCTAGGGTCTGAATTTGTGAAGAAAACCAAATTTTACTGTATTGCTTTCTCCCTCCCCCCACCCTTGGTACCAGGGATTGAACCCAGACACTTAACCAATGAGCCCCATCCCCAGCCCTTTTTTGTATTTTATTTAGAGATAGGGTCTCACTATGTTGCTGAGGACCTTGCTAAATTGCTGAGGCTGGCTTTGAACTCCTGATCCTCCTGCCTCAACCTCCTGAGCCTCTGGGATTATAGGCAGAAGCCACTGCACCTGGCTGTATCGCTTTTTTCTTATCCCCTCTTATCACCTCTCAGTAGACCTCAGCCTCAGACTTCCTGTCATCTTCCCAAGCCATGCCACTCCCAATAACTCTTCCAAGAAATCCTAGTTCTACCCTGGGGGCCTGTGTGGTGGTGTTGGCACTTTTAAAAGGGATGATAGTAGGATGGAACAATATGCCCTACAAGACAGAATCTCTCACTGATGTAACAGGGTGACATTGATGTGACAGGTGCTGGGGGCAGTGTGATATTTATGGACACAGAGCCCTGCCTTGCACCATAGAAGCAACTATCCACTCAGCCTACTCTCAAGGCCAACCCTGTTATGGATTCCTGAAGATAATTCCAATATTGTTCTGCCCAAACCAGAGCATTAGGCTAGGTGGGATAATGAACTTGTCTGCAATCAAGAGAAAGCCAGCTAAGCAATTCAAGAAAAAGAAGGGGAGCTGTGATTCCCTGTTGTGGGAGCTACCATGTTTCAAAGAACCTTCTGGAGAGAGTCACAAACTTATCCGTCACAAACTTATTATCATCAAATGGTGAGGCATTAGCATAGATAGACTGGAGGTGGTTTACAGAGGATCTGATGAGGAGGTGGCTTGTTCTGGTGTCCACTCCTGCATCATGCCTTGCAACACTGTCCCAGCCTCCTGACCACTTCAGTCAGCCACCAGCTGGCTTGTTGATCCTGTTTTTTGGAAGTGATGTTTAGACTCCAAAACAAAAAGTACAGAATGAGCTTAGGACACCTCAGACCACCCTAAGCAACACAAAACCTTATTGTGCAGAGCCAAAGGAAAAGATTTATGTGTTTGGAAGCTATTTTTTATTTTTGGAAGTTATTGTCATCGAGAGCTGGCTGTTAAGAACCAGATCAAAGTGTTTTCTTTTAAAGGCAAACGGCGGGGGATGTTTTCCTGCAGCTTCTGAAAGACCTTGGATGTGAAGGTCCTCCCTGTTCTGTTCAGACTCTGCTTATCAGCTCTTTGACACTGGGTGGGTCTTTTAACCACCTGAAACCTACTTTTCCACTTATTTACAAGAAGCTACAAAACTTACAACACAGAGTGAGGATTTAAATAAACTAGTATATGCCAAGTGCTTTGCACAGTGCTTTGAAGTAAAGGCACCACTTCAGAGTTTTTAGGTCTTACTGTTATCAGCATTTAATTCTTACCAGAAATATTCTAAAATGTACATGATTGCTGAACTTTCCCTTTCCCATTAGCTAAGTTTGGAATTTATTTCAACGCATCTGTAAAATAAGTGACTAATTATTTATATCTGAATAATAAATTTGGAACTTAGCTTTTAGAAATTCTGAATTTAGCTGTTTTTTGTTTTTAACCAGGAGTACATGAAAGAGCTTCAGAAGGTCCATGAGTTCCCTAAAATCATACAACATTTTGAGTGGGCATGCATTCCTCCAGAAAAAGAATCCATAGCTCTCATCAAATATGTCCCTGACTCTCAGCAAGATTTAAAAGAAAAGGCTAATTATACAATAAGATTGTCCCAATTACTTGTATGTCAGGTACTTGTAGAGATTAAACAATCTCACTAGTGGAATTCTCCAGAAAAAGACTGAATTAAGGGGAAAATATTATTAGGAAAGAGTTAATTTCTCCAGACTTAGAAGTGAGATACTTGTGAATATGTTACTGGTCGAAATCAGGTTCATCGCATTCCAAACACTGAGATAAGCAAGCAAGCAAGCAGAAATTTATTAAAAAGGAGATTAAGGTGGGAGTGTAAGAAAGCTCCCACAGAGAACATGGGAGGGGCAAGAGTGCCACCAGGGTCTCCTGACATCCCTTCTTTTCAAGGCACAGGAGGGGAAGTTGACTGGCCCACTTGTAACTGTCCTTGAGATTTTAATTGTCGGGTGTACATGTTCAGACTGAATTGTGTAGTCACTTTTTTTTTTTTTTTAAATAAGAATGGAGGCTTTTGTCCCTTTTGGGAAACAGATATTATTTGGCTTGCTGGAGCACATCAAATGTGGAGCATAACTCAGATGGTGGTCCTGATATCCGTCCTCCTAATTGACTCTCACCATTTTTCCCTACCTCAAATATATCTTAAAGGATGTCAAAATATTATTTGGTCTTTCCTAATACTCCTGAGTGGTGCTTTGTAAAATAATCTTGATTTGCCCCCTTCAATGAGGACTGAGCCCTCGTCATTTTAAATTTGTGTATTAAGTGAGTGACTCCCTTCTTGCCTTTCTCCTTGCATCTGGATGTTTCCATGTCCATTCCTGTGAGGCTCTTTGGACAGCCTGACACCTTAATACACCTGCTCACAGATCCTCACTTCATCCCCAGCTTTCAATACAATGCTGAAGAATCCTGAATGAGACTTAAATTGGTTCATATCTTTTTTTCATCATTTTTCCTTATGTCACTAAAGATACAAAACACTTAAGAATATAGATAACCTGTTTAGTGGTAGTCAAAGGATGTTTTTAAAAAGAAAAAAGGAAAAGAAAATTTCACAGACCCGCGTTTTCTAAGGAATCTGTCATGTCTCATGTACAGGAAGCCCACGTTCCCATCAGGGTTAGATTTAAGCTCATGATTTAAATAGGCGAAAGGCTCTTCGTCCTATTACTAATCTTAGAGCCATGCTATGGCCACAGTGCTATCAGAGAAAAAGGCCACGGGCAATGCCACAGGTTTAACTTCCTCCTCTAATTATTTGAAGGACTCTAAGGTTGTTTGCCAGTAGTGACTCAGTGCTTGTTTGTTTCAGTGACCATCAAGAGAAGCCATTTGCTGCGGTTGAGTGGGAGTGGGGAGAGAGGGAAGAGTTAAAGGAAAAAGAAAGCSGGCTGGGGGTGTGGCTTAGTGATACAGCCCTTGCCTAGCCCTGGGAAGCTCAAGGTTTGATCCCTAGTACTGCAAAAAGAAAGATATTTCCCCTCAGGAAGCTCATGGTGCAAGTGAAAATACAAAACATAAATATGTGAAGAACTTGCAAAACAATTACAAAATGAGTATAAATCCAATGTTGAGAAATTGTCACACAAAAAGAGATCTTCATAAATAAAGAAGGCTGAGGAGGAAATGGAGAATTCCAGCAAAGCCTTCTATAGAAGGATTGTCTTGAGCCAGGCTTGCCATACTGTGGGCCATGGTTGTAGATGCCCAGACACAGAAGTGAGAAAACAAAGCCACACACGGAGTGAGCAATCTAATGTGTTCAGTTGGAAGAATGACTCTGAAAAACATGATTAGTTGTAAGAACAAAGCAGAACTTGGATTATGTTTCCATGTTTTTTTTTATTAACTCATTAATTAATTAATACCTTCACCACACACGTGGAGACCACAAACACAGGATGTTGCTTCTCTAGGCACTGAGGTTGCAGACTAATATGCTCTTATGTAGTTACACTCTAGAGAGAAGATACAGAAGAGGAAGCAATAGTTGATTTAAAAAATAATAATAATAAAATGCCACTGGGATCTACTTGGCAAAGAGAATCCCTGGGGCTCACACTGGCCTTTGAGGAGATTGAGATATTATGATATCATCTCTTTAATAGTAAAGAGAGACATTCATTCTGCTAATTTGAAGCAAGCTTACTGGAGCACTCTGCCATGGCAGGTGCAGTCCCTGAACATGACCACTATGCTACACCTTCTGTTCCAAGGTGGGAGTAAGGGCACTGGCACTTACTTAGTACACAGTGAACAAGCACATCCACATGATGTTGCTCRGCACAGGCTGTCCAGAGGCCAAGGACCTTGGCTATCAGCTTATTGAGAACTGCCACTGGGGTTTAAGATTATCTAACCTTGAAGAATGGGAAGAGGAAAAGCATGCATCATCTGTATTTTGGTAACTGCCTGAATAACATAGTTTTAATTTTCTCCCCTTGAAAAAGGCGTATTATCGTGTAAAATTTCATACAGAGAATACATTTTTGGTTTGAAAAGTACTACTAATTAAACGTAATTTCATATTGGTCAATCAAATGGCTACAGAACTATTTTTGTTTATATACTTATTAAACTTTCTAAATAAGATGATGCAATTAATCCAATAGTAAAGAGAGATATTCATTCTGCTAATTTGATATTTGGAAGAAATAAGCCAATGAGGAATATTTTAAGTTCTTGCTTATTATACTCAGGGCAGATGGTCCAGTGAGCAGTGGTTTTGTAATGAATACCTAGAACTATATAGTGGAATAAATGAGGAATCTACAGGAGGGCTGGCCTCTGGTGTATGGGTAGAGTTAAAATGATCTTTATCTTAACAGTTTAGATGCTCTGAGACCAATGAGACCTTACAGCTGACCTCTGCTGATGTGTAGAGAATGTAAAAAGATCTCTGTTCTCTGTTATTGCCAATAACCCATTTCTCCTCTGGTTGAGTTAAACTTCTAATGTGCTGTATAAATTGATTCCAAGCTGGTAATATATGCTAATTTTGGCCCATCAGTTTGCACTGCACAAATTAGTATATATTAGAAGCTTGGAAAAAGAGATTCCTTATAAACTCAACTGACATTACTAATAAGAAAGTCAAAAGTTTTAAAATGTCCAAAGTTAAAAAAAAATGGTTCTCAAAAGGCAGGTAATAAATGTTTCAACAGTTTGAACATTCTAAATTAATAAAATGGGCCTCATATATATGGTTTACAGGTTCATTGCATTTGTGTTTCTTAAGTGGAAAAGGTGAATGTATTTTAGTTTTTCATTTTGAATTTGCTGTTAATTCCACCTGATATTCTGTATCATTTGCTGATAACAAGAATTTTCTTCTTTTATATTTACCTTTTTTTATATTCAGATATGGATAATAATGACCCTGATGAAGATCATCTTACAAGTTATGATATTCAACTCAGTATTCAAGAATCCATTGAATCCAGCCAGACTGCATGTCATTCTGAAAGGTAGCATTCTATTCAACTATCCTCACCAAAATTTCTTTATGGCATTTATTTTGGCATAAGATAAAATGAATCCCATTTCTCAATTCCTCTTATAGGAAAATACTTACCTTTTTTTCTGGCAGGAAATCTAATACCTCTATAGAGACCAGTGTCCACAGACTTTAATAATCTCGTCTTCCACAAATCCCCACCTCATGTGGAAAATGAAAATTACCTAGATGGGAATTCCCTAGTTGAATTTGGTTGGATAAGGTTGCCTATTTTCTAAATCAAACTGTAATCAAACAGACAATGAGTAGTTTGAACAAATTTGCAAGAACAGTTTATATAACCAGTGTATGGGTAAACAGCAATCTGTATATTCTATAACACACTCAGCTACTGTCTCAGCTAAACTTTACAAATAATTCAATTAAAATATACACAAAATTGATGTTTTATGTAAGTAGGAGTTTCAGGATTTAAAACTGCATAAGTAAATTTCGGTCTTGAACAACACACATGTTTCTGACACAAAGTTTAGTTTTTCTTTATATTCTATTAATTATATATAGACTCTTGTATTCTGAAACTTAATAGTGCTTTTGAATAGATTCAGTGCTATGAAGTTATTGCTTTTGAGATTTTAAAAATTAGCATATTACATTTAAATTTCTGGTCTTTTTAATTTTTCCATTGTGTCTAACAGATTTTAGAATTTGAAAATGCCCCAGAAGCCATTCACAATCCTAGAATGTTAGCAGATATTTCTGCTTAGTAGAGTTAAATAAGTTTGTTATGAAATCCTTGTTTCTATTTAATAAACACACATATCAGAGAATTACCCTGAGGGTTTAAATCATGACCTGTGATGGGACACATGTTAGTAAATGCTCTCTGCCTGTTTTCACTTATGGATCAGTTGATTAGAGACACTAACAGACATTTTGGACCATAAGCTCCTGAATGTCTATTAGCAATTATTACGTCAAGCAATGAACATCGGTTGAACATAGTTCTTCTAAAGGTGGAAGAAGCCTTAGTGATCTTCCTATTTAATCCCACTGTTTCACTGATGAAGAAACCAACACCCAGAGAGACTGAGGACTTTTCCAGGATCACAAAATCAGGCTGTGACCTGAATCCAGCCCTTTTAAGTCTGACTCCCATTGTTTACTCCCTTTCATAGCTTAGCGCAATCTCAGAGATAACATCACAATCTTGGATTTTGCCATCTTCACTAGTGTTCTTAGGTTTGGATATCGTAAATATACTCTGACTCCTAAGCATTTACATTTTTGAAGAAAATAAAATCAGTTTTGTGCATTTCCTGTGGATCTCGATCATTCCAATTACCCACAAGAACTCAATATAAATTAAATATTTTATTCCTTTAAGGATATCACTAGTATAAACATGGCTTCTTTTTCTTTATCTGGTAGATTTGTCCCCCTCAGTGATCAGAACAGAAAACTTGTGGAGGCCATAAGACAAGGTAAATGGGTTTCTTGTCTGGAGTGGGTTGGATTGGAAATCCTATCTTGCAAAGACAGAGATGTGTTAACAGACTATGTGTTTAATTTAGGTCACATTCTTGAGCTCCAGGAGTGTGTGAAATATAAACGTGCACTGGACGAAGCCGATGAGAAAGGATGGTTTCCATTGCATGAAGCTGCCGTTCAACCTTTTCAACAAATACTTGAGATTGTTCTGGATGGTAAGAGAACATAACAGCCTTTTGACAAGTAGAACAGAAATTTAGAAGTTATCATTGTTCCTAATGAACATAAAGAGTAAGAGATAGTTTGGAATATGAGAAAGTCACTACCCATATATTAACTCCAGGAGTACCAAAAAATTAGCATATTTCATGATGCTTGAGGTTCACCCTTGCCATCCTTTTATCTTTTTAAAAAGTGGCATAGTTTGGTGGGAAGGTGTTGTCATTGGCTATGAGAGATAAAGGGTTTTATATATAATGAATTAATTGATTCAAATATAAAGCTTTTTTCTTTTGGAAGTTGGTTTTTAATTTTTCATCTTGAACTATCAAAAGATTCAAAAGATTATTATTATATATTGCAATGTTAATAATAATTTTTATGTCCTAATGGTATTTTTTCATATTTCAGCATTTATAGACCATTGTTAGAATTCCTTATGTTTTAACTTTCAATGCTGCTTGCTAAGTTGGAAAATTATGAGAAATACTTGATAGTTGGCTGGCTAGCAATCCATCTAGAAAATGAGATAACTAGACAGATAGAAATGATGTTAAGAGGTTGGGATTGTGGCTCAGTGGTAGAGCATTTGCCTTACACATGTGAGGCACTGGGTGCGATCCTCAGCACCACATAAAGATAAATAAATAAAATAAAGGTATTGGGTCCATCTATAACTAAAGAAAAAAATGATGTTAAGGATAATGTTTCTTTTCCAACACATTCTGAAAAAATGATACATTCATTCAAATATATTTTCATTCCTACATTTACACACCTCATTTGACCAAAAGAAAATCCAGATGCAATTTAAATAATAAAATGAAGGATTGGAGAGTTGCTTTACAATGTTTTAAGAAATGAGAATTTGCAACCAGCTTTTTTTTTTTTTTTTTTTTTTTTTTTAAGCAGCTTGAAACATAGATGTTGGTTGTCTAGCTGTTGTTTTGATTAGCAGGTCCAGGAGCATCTAATTTTCTTCACCTTTGTTAGGTTGATTTTTATCATACTTTCAATCTTCCCTTTCTCATCAATTGACTTTTCAATCTGTTATACATAACAACGGGTTATTCTGAACTATGCAGTATCCCTTAAGTAAATATTTTCAATTTTTTAATATAATGCTTTCATATCTTAGCATCCTACAAGACACTCTGGGAATTCAAGACCTGTAATGGAGAAACACCCTTGACTTTGGCAATCAAAGCTGGTCTGGTGGAAAATGTAAGGACTTTACTTGAAAAGGGAGTATGGCCCAACACCAAAAATGATAAAGGAGAGACGCCCCTTCTGATTGGTAAATGACTTTTTTTTTCCCTAGAACTTTCATAGTTTGAAACAAATAATAAATATTTAATAAGTATTTTTTGGAAATCAATATGCTTTATTAAAAATTATATTACTCCAATACTTTCCATTTCCTGAACCTCCTCCTCTGACCCCCATTTCACCTGCCAGATGATTTTATTTTCCCATCCCACTATGTGTTGGTCAGCTTTCTGTTGCTGAGACCAAAATACCTGATAAGAATAACTTAGAGGAGGAAAAGTTTGTTTTAGCTCATGAATTCAGAGGTTCAGCCCATGGCTGGCCAACTCTGGGCCTAAGGTAGAGTAGACCATCTTGGCACCGGGTGTGGTGGAGGGAAACTATTCAGCTCATTATAGCTATGAAGGTGGGGTAGGGGCACGGAGGACAAGATTTAATCCTCAAGGATATACCTCTGGAGACCTACTCCTTCCAGCCATGCCCCCTCTACCTATAGTTACAACCCAGCACTATAGTCCTTTCAAACTACTAATCCATCAAGTGGATTAACCCAGTGATTAGGTTATAGCTGTCATAATCTGATTGCTCCACTTCCTGTATTAACACAGGATCTGTTAGTGGGTAACTCATATCCAAACCATAACACACAGTGAGGTCAGATGTAAAGGATGACTACATTCTTCAGCATCTAAAAATGAGTGCCACTAACCAAGAAGAGCAGAACTAGTTTAATGAAGCCAGAGGTGTCAAGCCTAAAAGAAAACTCTGTAGGTAGGATCTAGTTGTAAGGAGGGTTCTATGGGGAAATGTAGACAGAAGAAAGAGAAGATAACAAAAAGAGGGACATCAGATCCATATCAAAATGATCAGTCTAGTCAGGCATGGTATCATACATCCCTAATCCCATGCTGCAAATGCTATAATACAGGTGTATATTCAAAGTAAATTTGGAGAATAAAAAAGCAGTAAATCTAAAAATACTCCAAAGAGCCTAAACTCTTTGAATTGATTCTTGAGGGATATAGAACTCTCAAAGGAGAATGTCACTACAGCATGAGGTCATTCTGATCTGTTTTACTTTCACTAATGCTTGCCCTAGGTCAAAGCTTTCAGCCTTCCCAAATTCAGATTATTTATCAAGCTATCTAATTATGATAGTTGTGGTACGAGCAAAACTTCTGTCACAAAAACCAAAAACAGACACACAAGGCAAGCAAGCAAACAAAAGTGACTTAAAAATAAGTTTTTTCTCATGTCACATTTCAGAGGTTTGGCTTTTGTCGAATAGGCACACCAAGGTATAAGAGAGGCTGGGATATTTTGTCTCTATATGGATGACTTGTGACCTGCTAACATTTGGGGCTTTTATTGCTAAAAAGAAAAGGACAACCATGAAATATGAGGAACAAATAGCAGACCCTGAGCACATGTTTGTCAGCCTCTGTCACAATATCATGGTGCTTTTCATAAATACACCAGAATTCTTGCCTGAGCAGGTTCTATAAACAGTAGATGAAATATCCACCTGTAAGTTTGCTTCACAAGTATTATCATGATATGTATTATTTTCTAAAGGCCAGCATATACCATAGAGTATTTGCATTAACATTCAAGAACATATTGTTGTTTCTATAGATAGCCTTTGATTTCTGGGATTTGGGGGGAGATACATTTTTCAGAGTTACATACTGCTTCACTTTGCAAATACAGAATTATTCTCCACTTGGTATTGACAATCCAGTTTTTTTTTTTTAAGAACACCTAATTTGTGGCTCTCACTCATTTATTTTGCTTTTGCTCCATCTAAGTTGTCTTTAGTGCTTAATGCCTACAACACAGCATTAGGCATTTATATACATTTCAAAGTTACGTATGTTGCTTTAATTCTCTAGCCATATATAAAGTGTGGGAAAGGTATCTTATCACTGAATTATCAGAATGAAAATAGAATTAACATTTGGAAATAAAATTTTAAAGTTGTCAAAGAGAGGACAAAAATCTCCATAGAGGAAATGGAGAAACATTCCAGATGTGGTGTTCATGTGCGTCTCCCCACACATCTGGAGAAAAGCACTTTTCTTGGTTACCTTCTCCAGGACTTTTTTGCTGTGTAGCCATGTCAAGTCTTTTAGGTTCTATAGGAAAATGGATCATTCATGTCACTTCCTCAGTTTTCTTCTTGAATCTATGGGCTGCTTTGAAATTTGCTATTCGAAGTCCATTAACTCACGGAGGAGATATAAGAGGTCATAAGTATTGTTCCTTTTTTTTTTCCTGTATTATTCCGTTTTTTACATACTCTTAGCCTCATGCCATCATTTTTGTCTCTATTTATGGAATATCGGTAGAGGACAAAAAATAAAAATAATTACTTTTGGACCCTCCAGGTCCTTTCTTCCCTGTCAGCCTTTGATGTATCCCAGTCATGTTACACAGTTGCTTGCTGAGTCGTATATATTTGATTTGTGATGATCTGACACTTATCGGGGTTTGTTTTTTCTCTTGGATTCCCTTTCTGCCCATACCCTAGGATTTGGTGTCACCTTTCCTCAGTTGGATAGGCACAAGCTTACCCTGGCCTGTGGAGCCCAGAGTAGGGAGGAAGCTCAGGTAACTGTTTGGCACCGTGTCTTAGGTGCACCATCTTCTGTTCCCCGTCACTTTCCACCATTTACATGTCAGTTCATTCCACTGCTGACAGTTTCTTTCTCTCAAATCATCCTCTCCTCTTTCAATCTTCCAGCCTTTGTCCAGATCCCTCAGAAAAGTCTCTCTGTATGTTTTATGAGTCAGAAAATCACTTGTAGCTGATAACTAAATGATATGAGCAAAACACAAATATCCAGGGGAAAAGAAGAAAATGATAAATTTAAAATAAAAAGGAAAACAAAAACAAACAAACAAAAAAAACCCCAGATGTTCAAAAGTGCCTATAATGGGTGCAAAATTTTTCATCTAAGTCTTGAAATTCTTCAACTTAAGTTAGGTTTTCTTTAAGCATTTACTTATTATTTATTACAGATTAAAATGTGAAAATTAGTTTAAATTTTTTTTCTGAAGATATCCTAAAGAGTACTAAAGAATCTTAAGTTTTAGAATTTTGAATTCTAAAGAATTAAAAATATATGATGTATATATATAAAACTAGAAGTTTTTAAATTCTTGTTTTACTTAATCTGCTGTGTTACACCAATACTGTGCCCTATGAGTTTTTCTTTTGTTTCTTTCAGTTATTTACTGGCTAAAAATGTCTTGGTGAGTTAGTTTGGGAGTGTTTTCCTGCTATTTGTATTGTTATTTCTGTGGAAAATATATCCATAGATCCAAAAAATTAAATTGGAAATGAAGTTCTGACTTTTGAGAAATTATTTTAAGTTGAATACAGCCTAGGTATGCTGTGATTTTCATGGAGAAAGCTTAATCACTAATCAATATACATTCCAAGTGAAATAAGAGCAAAACAAAGCATGAGGGAAGAGGTCGATTATTTAATACTTTTTTTCCAATTACAAAAAAAAACTGCAACAGAAGCAAGAAGATAAATGAGGACATACTCCTCATAGTTGGGTTAGCTTGCTTGGTGCCTGCACTGCAATACCACCAGCCATGGTGAGGTAATTCACCAGGATTAGAGCTGCCAGAGGCAGATGGGCAGTTCAGAGAGAGCCATTTGTCAACAGTTCTACTTTGGACATTGAGAGGAGGAAAATGAGAACCTGCTTCTAAAGGAAATAGGCATAGTCTTGTCTTCTGGTTAGGCAGTTTGGAGCCATTTCCCTCCCTTTGACTTTAGATCCGTTCTACATTCTGCCTCCTTCCTGCCCAGAATGTTCTATGTGGCCTCACAGCTCCTCCTGCCTTTTCCAACAAAGGTCCAGGCTTTGAATGTCTCTTCAAATAGAAGACAGCCGAAGCTTCTCCTCTAGACAGTCCCTTGTGACTCACCCAGAGCTTCCACACAACTAGCATGAACTGAATGAATGAATGATGAATAGGAGTGAATGTATCTGACTGGTTTATTACCAAGGTTTTATCTAATGACAAGAAAAAAAAAAGTGTGACATATTTCAGTATTGTTTCCATAACAGAGAGAAAGTCTTAATAATCCAAGGAGGGGAGAAAAAATCTCTTTTAACAGTGTATTTTCAAATATTAGAGACAAACAAGAGGGCGGAGACATCTGATTTAGTGACCCTCTTAGAATTGTGCTTCATTAACTGTCACATACTTCCATTTAGAACAACAGGCGTACTTAGGTTTTCTACAGCACTATTATTAACCTCCATTGAAAGTACAGGGATGAGCTGGGTACAGCAGTGCACACCTGTAATCCCAGTGGCTTGGGAGGCTGAGGCAGGAAGATCACAAGTTCAAAGCCAGCCTCAGCAACTTAGCGAGACCCTAAGCAATTTAGCAAGACCCTTTCTCAAATTAAAAAAAGGGCTGGGGATGTGGCTCAGTGGTTAAGCACCTCTTGGTTCAATTCCTGGTACTAAAAAAAAAAAAAAAAGAAGAAGAAAAGAAAAGAAAGTATAGGTGTGGTGAAAAGTTGTCTTTGCATGGGAAAAAAGAAAATCTGTGTCTATGGAGGAAACTTGATACATACCATCTACTTAYGCAGCTCTAGGGTCCCGAGGTTATAAAACAATACTGACACTAATTTATTAAGATCCTATTATATACTGGGTACTATACTAAGCATTTCAAATATGTAATTTATAGAATTCAACAATAGATGCTATTTGAAGTTTGAAAGAATGCACATGACATCCTATCCTGGTGACGTGCATTTCCCATGAAACTCCTACCCTCCTCTGAGTCTTAAAGAAAAAATAATTGTCATCTTGCAAACTCTAGAATTAGAAATATGGGTATGAGAAATACAATATCCCCTAGTAGCATAAAAAGGAATAGATAATATCTAATATGTGATATTAAACTTGTTAATTAATTTAATACCACATCCAGTATCCATGTTAATATGCTTACTCTTGGATGTTCTTTTTAAAATGATTCTCAAGCTGTAAAACAGGGCTCCTACAACATGGTTTCTACTCTGATAAAACACAACACCAACCTTGATCAGCCCTGTGTCAAGCGATGGTCAGCAATGCACGAAGCAGCCAAGCAAGGCCGGAAAGATATCATAGCTTTGCTACTAAGCCACGGAGGCAATGTCCACCTGAGAGATGGATTTGGAGTCACACCATTAGGTGTGGCCGCAGAATATGGTCACTGTGATGTGTTAGAACATCTAATCCACAAAGGTATGTAAAGGGAATTGTTCTTTACTGGCTTTTGTCCTGGCTCTCTGACTCTCCTCTTCTACAGTTCTCGGGAGTTTCTCTTACCCCCCTTGAATATCATTGGGAGTGAGGCTTTCAGACCTACCCCTCATTCCACAACACATTGTGACCTACAGATCTACAAAGCCAGCCCTGATTGCTTTCTATAGAGAGCACGATTTTCACATAGATGACTCCCCAGGGTCTCATCCTCCCCTTCTCCTACACTGAAATCCTCTTCTTCTCCTGCTTCTTGATACAATAACTTATTTCAACCAGGACTGAAAGGTTGGGTCTATCTCTCCATCTGCCAGGCCCCTCACATCTTCCTTGGACCAGTGCAATCATTTCTCCACCATTATCCAGTGTTCCCACTCCACAAGACAGAAGCCACGCTACATACTGCAACTTGGTTCCTCTCCAAAAGGACAGCAGTCACAGTGTGAACTATTCAGAAAATCTACTGCATCAACTTGAGTGGTTTTTCCAGGCTTATGCTTCACTATTCCCATCTTGTATCCCATGTTCCAACCAAAACAGACTAGAAGTATTCCCTCTGCTGGGGTTTGGATCAGGTTCTTGCCCTCCTCTGGAATGCTCTCTGACACCATCAAAGTCTGTCTTTGAAGACACTTCCTCACTAAATCTTTTCCTACTTCTCCCCAACAGGTTGTGATCTTGCTCCTGCTTTAAAACTTCAAAGTGCTTTTTGTAACTAAAGAGCCAGGAGTTAAGAAACTTAATTCCTAAACTGGTTTCTGCCAACTACTCCTTGTGAGACCCTTGCCTACTTGCTTAAATGACTGGTCCTCAGTTTCCTCATTGATAAATGAAGGCAAGAACCACATGATCCCCAAGGGATCCTCTATCGAAAAATAACAAACATATTTTTGTCTCCCAACATAATCTCATTTAATTATCAGAAAATCCCTATAAAATAAACTGTATTACTCCAATTACAGATGCAGAGGGGAAGGTGCATAGAAGTTTTCCTGACTTTCAAAGTCAGCATCAGAGCCAGGTTCAAACACCATCCTGTTGCCCTTGCAGTATGTTACCCAGTGCATATGTCATATTGTTTATGTGCCCTGATGATATCTTATGGTAGTCAAAGTTATTCATTCTAGGCTCACCTACAGTACTTGCACAGAAAGAGTAGTCAATAAATGTTGGTTGAATTGAAGTAGAGAGTGTTAACTGGTGTCATTACATTTAAAAGCCTCATGTTCCCTTTATCTGTAATCATTTGTCCATTGTGGAAATTGACTGGTTTCTCTGACAGTCTTTGTGACCCAAAGATTTTCTAATAAAACAAAAGCATGTTGCATTACTCTTTACTGAGAATATTGAGAACACAGATGCTATACTTTTTATTTAAGTGCTAACCAGAGGGGGAAAAGAAAAAAGGTCTTTTTTTAAAGGGGTCTATCAACAATACCATCTAGTCACCTGCTACAATGTGCTTCATACTGCCAGGTGGGGATGTGTTTGCTTTGGCGGATGATGGGGCATCAGTGTTGTTTGAGGCTGCTGGGGGCGGTAATCCCGACTGCATTGCTCTCCTGCTGGAGTATGGAGGAAGTGGAAATGTGCCCAACAGAGCAGGGCATCTCCCTATACACCGAGCTGCCTACGAGGGACATTATCTGTAAGTGATACCTTATGGGGTGGTTACTTTAAGTTGAAAATACAAAATTATGAATACAGAATAATCACAAGTCTCTTTATACACAATACTCCCCCAAATTCAAAAAGAAGTCGGTAATGTTTGCAAGTATTGTAATTAAATGTTTGGAACTTGTTGGGCTTTTCACCTTTTTATAGTCTTCTAATTCACAAAATGAATTTATACTACCTTAATAGTAAAAAGAATGCCCTTTCATTCCTTTTTTAGAAGGAATTAAGTTATAGTTGAGAATTCTGTGCAAGTTACCCAAGAGTACTTATCTGTTTGTTTGTTTTTTAAGTGTTTAACTAAAGGCCATGGAATTTCTAAAAACTTTGCTCTTGGCAAAGGATTAGAATTTGTTAACAATACTCTGTTATTCAATGATTTTCCAGCATCTCCAGGATATTATAGTAACATTATAGTAAATGTATTCTAGAATAGAAAAGTTTCATTTTTAGATTTTTTTCCATACAAATGGTTGAATACATTTTGAAACCACAAAATGTGCTAAAATCAACACACCAATAGAAGTTTAGAATCACTATTTTGAACTACCCACCATGAGAAGATGGTTTAAAGCAATTAAATGTAGTTAATAAAACTTGTAACCCAAAGATTTTCTAATAAAACAAAACATTTTAAGATTTATCATTTTAGTCTTTATCATTTTTGGTGGCCACAGTGGCTAAGTTAAAGGGCCAATGACGCACCATTGACGCTAAGTGACATGTTGTTAAAGTTTACCTGGATTTACTCCCAGTGTTCATAAATTCACACATGGTAGCTCTGAATTAGGCACAAGAGATCAAGTTATCCTTGCTTGTGGCTCTCTTGCATATCTAAATGGTTAGTCAAGTGTGAAATTCACAACTATTTATCACATGTCCTTAGAAACATAAGCTGTGGTCAGTGATTTAAATTGGACTGGTATAAATTTGATGGAAATTTTAAAGACTTTTTTTTTTGACTAATAATTCAACAGCAAGTTGTATGGAAGGAGAAGTACCATAGCTAACATTAAAGAAGATTGCCTAAAACAAGTGAGAGAGGAATGATTTATAAGAATTCAAAATGTCAAATCTCTAGTCCTTTATTTATGTATAACTGTGTGACCTTGGACAAGTCATTTTCCCTCTGGAGATTTCATATTGTCCTTCTGTTAAGGAAAGGGGCTATATTAAATCATGTCCAGGGTCACTTCCAACTCACTTCCAATGACTCCATGATTCTAATGGTCAAGATTATGAAGTGTTCTTCTATGTCATGAGAAGGGTTTACTTTCTTTTATATTTTCTATAAAATTAGCATTGGTTGCTTATAAAAGAATTATATTGTTTAGAAAAGGAGTGTGGAGAGGAGTCCTGAGGAATCATATATAGGGCCAAATGTAAGAAATATAAGATGTTGGATGTTCCCCAGGAAGATTTAGAGAATAAAATAAATCAAAATTTACTAAATTACATTAAATACTACAAAAGTTTAACATTTCAATGTAAGGTTATCTAGAGAAAGTAAGGAAAACCAAATGAACTATATTTACATGTAAGTAAAGAAGGGGATTTATTCAATTTCTTGATTTTCTTAATGTCATGGGGTATTTGGTGGTTGTTGTTGTTTGTTTTAGTGCACTGAAATATCTTATCCCAATAACATCCAAAAATGCAATTCGGAAAAGTGGGCTAACTCCCATTCACTCAGCAGCTGATGGACAGAATACCCAGTGCCTGGAACTACTCATTGAAAATGGTTTCGATGTCAACGCTCTTCTTGCTGACCACATTTCCCAGAACTATGACGATGACAGGAAGACTGCGCTCTATTTTGCTGTCTCTAATAATGACATCCATTGTACAGAAGTCCTTCTGGCTGCAGGTGCAGACCCAAACCTAGATCCCCTCAACTGTCTACTTGTGGCAGTGAGGGCCAATAATCATGAGATTGTCCGACTGCTTCTCTCTCATGGGGCTAATGTCAATTGTTACTTTATGCACGTGAATGACACCCGTTTCCCCAGTGCCATTCAGTATGCCCTAAATGATGAGGTCATGATGAGGCTGTTGCTGAACAATGGCTATCAAGTGGAGATGTGCTTTGACTGCATGCATGGTGACATCTTTGGAAATTCATTTGTGTGGTCAGAAATAGAGGAAGAAGTACTGCCAGGATGGACGTCTTGTGTAATAAAAGATAATCCGGTGAGTTGCATCTTCTTCTTCGTAGGGGGCCATCATCTTAACTCTTATAGCAGTCTAATAAATGTTTTAATTTTTTTTAATTTTAATTTTTCCCTTTTGATTGCCTCATCATCCATTGGCTACTCAGGAGCATGCTYTTTAACTTCCATATGTTAGCTAAAGTTTCTGAATTTCCTCCAGTTGTTGATTTCTAGTTTTAGATCATCATGGTCAGAAAAGATATTTAAAATGATTTTTTTGATCTTAAATTTTTAATCTAGTTTTGTGGCCTACCATAGGATCTATCCTGGAGGAGGCTCCTTGTATTGCTAAGAAGAACGTGTTTCCTGTAGCCTAACTCAAACTTTCACTTGTTTAAGAGTATTACATGAAAAGAAAAATCAACTCTAATTTTTATGTATTTCTTATTCTTAATTTTTTTTATTTGCAATGGTATAGGGTTACAAGCATATATTTAGCCAAGAAAATGTTATTTCTTTTTTTTTTTCAATTGGAACAGGATATAAAAAAGATGAAATATGTGCAAATAATTACTTATGCTTATTTAGTGGAATATTGGGGCTAAATGAATAAAAGCATGATTCTTCTATGCTGTATTGACTAGAATCATGTCAGAACAATGTCTATATGTCTTAAAGACTATTAGTTCAAAAAACAAGCAATTTTTCACCTTTGTTCATTCCAAGGAGGGATGTTTTCTTTTCTAGAAAAGGACAAAGATGTAACTTTTCATAACAAAATTAAGTGTTTATGTATATGTTTACATATAAGCATATTAAAAGTACTGCTAAATTAAATTTTATCAATTTTCTCAGTTCTGTGAGTTTATTACAGTTCCGTGGATGAAACACCTGGTAGGCAGCATTATTCGTATATTGATAGATTACATGGATTATGTTCCTCTGTGTGCTAAACTGAAGTCTGCATTAGAAGTACAGAGAGAATGGCCAGAAATCCGCCAAATACTAGGTAAAAAATAAAATTATCCTACAATTATTTTTTATTAAAAATGTGTATAATGTCTTTGATATTTTTCAGTGTTTCTTTGTTCAGAATTATCTAAGATATTTTTAAATCATCCTTAATGCTTCCTCTGTTTTGAGTTACAAATTTTATGTTTTCTTAATATTTCCAACTCTTTAATTGTACAATGAATAACCTTATATTCTGACTAGAACTCATTTTTGGAAAATTACCTTCTATAATGTATAATACATAGACTTCATTCTCCATGAGGTCAGGGATCTCCTTGTTTCTTTTTGTATTCTCAACATTTAGCATAGTGCCTAGAGAGTAGTTAATACTTAATATATAATTATACAGTAAATGAAGAAATGGAAGGCATTAGAATTATTTTTTGACATACACTCTTTTAGGTCTTTATTGACAAAATCCTAGTATCAAAAGTTTGTGTTATAGGCAGGTCATTTGAATTCTCTAGGCAAAAGCTTATAATCACACTAAGTATGGCAGCAAACTCCAGTAATCCCAGCTAGTTGGGAGGCTGAGGCAGGAGAATCAGGAGTTCAAGGTCAGTCTGGGCAATTTAAGGAGACCCTATCTCAAAAAAAAAAAAAAAAAGAGGAGCTCAGTAGTAAAGCACATCTGGGTTCAATACCCAATACAGAAAAAAAAAATGTGCTTTCAAGGAAAGTACACTTACAGTTTAAATGACTCCAAATACAAATAGAAACTAGGAAAAAAATCATAGATTGGAGAGTTTCTCTTTCAAAGTATGACTTTGAGAAAATGAACTCTCAAAACTTACTTGAACATTAATTCCATGGAGCTTAAAAAAGTATCATTGAACATTTCATGACATTTTAAATAATCTGGCACTCTTGATGTATCTAAATCAGTCTTCTCCTGGAATGAGTTCTATAATAGAAGAGATTTTGTGGCAAATAAAACAGAAATCTTAGTCGGATGAATGATGCAGTTTTGTGAGCCTAGACTCTGAAGTCAGACTGGATGGGGTGGAATTCAAGCCATGCCTAGGTCGGGGGATGCTGGGTTATGTTGTACAGATGTGATTGGGGCTGATAGCTTCATGGAAATAAGCAATAATTTATTGTATCAATTTTGTTTTTTATAAAAATTTCCAAGATAATGATAGTAGCTTTGTGACTTTGAACAAGTTACTTACATTTTTTATGCCTATGTTTTTCCATTGCAAAATGGAGCTAAGTTAATATTTACCTCAAAAGTGTCTTAGGGGCTGGGATTGTGGCTCAGCGATAGAGTGCTTGTCTTGCATGTGTGAGGCCTGGTTTTGATCCTCAGTACCACGTAAAAATAAATCAATGAAATAAAGGTATAAAAAATGTTTGTTTGTTTTTTTAAAAAGTCTGTCTTGGGAATTTAAAGAGATAACATGTGGGATTGAGGGTGTGGCTCCGTGGAGAGCACTTGCATAGCATGCACTAGACTTTGCGTTTGATCAAAGCACCAAAAGCAGAGAGAGGGAATGAGAGAAATAGGCAGGATGCATGTAAAGTGTCTAACTGGTACCTATAATATTAAAAATATTAAAAACATTTTGCTATTTTGTGTTATTTTTATTACATGGTAAGTTTATGGAAAGTATCTGAAATGTATACGCAAAGTATGTCATGAAATATTATAAGGAATACTCATGCTTATTTTTACAAATTAAAAACTAAGCTGAGGATATTGCTCAGTTGGTAGGGTGCTTGCCTCACATGCACAAGGCCCTGGGTTCTAATCCCCAAAATAATATTAATAATAATAATAATATTAATAATAAAAGCTAAGTCTGAAGAGAATTACAAAACAACCTAGTACCTAACCTCTCAGAGCTCCCTTCCTGGACTGAAGCCCACATTAGAAGCAGTCAAAATCAAGCAGGACAGGGACAAGAGACAGTTCACATAAAAATGGGTGGCAAACAGGATTAGGAGTCCTCAGGGAGCAAGCCACCAGATTTTTGGATATGGTAACAAAGAAACTGTTAACAGAACAGGAACCTCTGCAAAACTGGAAGAGTTATCTTGAACCCTGACTCAAAAAAAAAAAAAAAAAAGGTAAAGAAACTGTGATGGAGAAATGGGTGATTCCAGATCTGGGGAAGGAAATGTACAAGATGAACCTGGAATACTCACCTGGTCACATCAATAGCAATGAACCCCTCAAAGACTACATACAAGAACCATGCCAAAAGAATTCAGGACCCCGATCATGATGCTATCATGATCCCAAAGGAGATCATTATTTTGATCAGTAGAAATCATATCCAGTCTTAAATATATGATATTTTAAAACTGGTCAGTTCCAAAGGATGATAGAGAATTGATTTGTTATCTTGGAAATTGATAAAAAGAAAGGATTTAAACTATTCTACCTAATTTATATAAGTCATGCCACTCTAACCAGAATATGAGAGCAAGAATTTTCCTTTTTAAAAGTATTTCAAGTAATTAATGGAAAGGAAATTATATAAATAAATATCATCCTTCTGTAGTCCCCAGTAAACTAATGGATGTGGTCATTGAGTATTAACTGCTGTTCGTGTCACATTATATCCTGAATGGAAGAATACAGTTCTGCCAAAGAGATCAAATTTGAGTTCAATCAAGAAATAGAGAAGACAGTGGGACCTGGGTTGCACGTACTATCACATGCCATCTGCAAAACTCGGGCTGTGGGAAAACACAGGTCATTGGGGTCTTCAAAGGTTAACTGAAAGGACGAGAAGGGAATGCAGAGCCACAGATTAAAGAGATATACAGGACAAATCAAATGTCTTTTTTTAAAGTACTGTCCATATCTTTAGTACATTTAGTGTAGGGACAGTATTCTTAGATGATGAAACTTTGAAGGAAATGATTGCAATATACATAAGGGTAGTAATTACTCATGGCAGAAGAAAGAGATKAGGATGGGAAGGCCCATAGAGGAAATTCTGGGGTGGCTGGCAAAGTTCTATTTCCTGACCTGGGAGGTGAATAAAGGTGTTTGCCTAATAATCACTTATGATAACATATGAAACTATACACGTGTGTAGTTTCTTTATATGTATCTTATTTCACAATAAAAAGGTTTAAACAGTTCGGAGGTTGGAAAGGGGGAGAAACTCAGACTTAGATAAATTAATTACCTAAAATTATAGAATAGAAAATAACAATGCAAAGATCTGAACTCCTGTCTTATGTTAAAACACAAGCCGTTTCTATAATACCACTATACTTTTTGTTGTAGACAGCACAGATTTTGCTTCTATATGGGAATTCACTGTCCATGTGTTTTTATTGCAAAAGAATCCCCCCCGATTCTGATGCTTTTTAAAAAAGACAATCTAGCCTGGCACGGTGGTACATGCCTGTAATCTCAGCAGCTTGGGAGGCTGAGATAGGAGGATCACAAGTTCAAAGCCAGCCTCAGCAAAATCTGAGGTGCTAAGCAACTCAGTGAGACCCTGTCTCTAAATAAAATACAAAATAAGGCTGGGTATGTGGCTCAGTGGTCGAGTGCCCCTGGGTTCAATCCCTAGTATGGAAGGAAGGAAGGAAGGAAGGAAGGAAGGAAGGAAGGAAGGAAGGAAGGAAGGAAGGAAGGAAGGAAGGAAGGAAGGAAGGAAGGAAGGAAGGANGAAGGAAGGAAGGAAGGAAGGAAGGAAGGAAGGAAGGAAGGAAGGAAGGAAGGAAGGAAGGAAGGAAGGAAGGAAGGAAGGAAGGAAGGAAGGAAAGAAAGACAATCTAAGTAAAAATAATGCCAGGAAGTTTTCTTGGTTTGTTTGTTTCTATCATATATTACTGCAGCCTATCAGTTGCTTGCTATGAGCATGGTCAACCACTGGATGTCAGGATTCCTCCAGATATCTGTAAGGCAGGATGTTAGGGGAAAAAGTAAAATCGTAGTTTTTGTAAAAATGTGAATTTTTTCTGCCTGTTTTGGTAACAATAATTTTGTCTCAGCAATTTTTGGAAAATGTGTTGATTTCTAAAAGAGATTATTTCAATGTTCATAGTCTCAAATGAAAGAGAAATGTGATCACTTGTATTATTTTATTGAATGATAGTTAACATTTATTGAATGGTTACAATGTGCCAAGCACTTATTTCATACTTTATATGAACTAAATTATTTAATCTTCAAACTACCCTAGGAGGTAGGTCCCATTGTTATCTGCATTTCATAGATGAAAATACTAAAATCACAGAGGTTAAGTGACGCACCCAAGGTCATTCACCACTAAGTGGCAGAATCAGGATTTTAAGTCAAGTCAGCTGAGTCTAGAAGCCACACCTATGTCTACGCGCTTTGTGGCCCCTGTACTAGTTCATGTTGCTGGTGTGACGTATCAGTATTGTCATAATAACTTAGATTAAAGCAAGAATTGAAAATAAAGGCTTATGTAAGAYAGATGAAGAATGTTAGTATATTTTTCATGAAAATATAAAGTGTTTGGGTATCAGATCCTGGAAACAAACCTCAYGTGGAATAATGAAGAATTATGCAATTATTCATATTGATGTTTCCTGGATAATTATTCATCAAAGAGAGTGAAAGAGGAAGGGAGGAAGGAAGAAAAATATCTCTATAATATTCAGTTCTAAAGAAGAAATACACAGATGTAAGCATTTTCTTTCTCAAATTCATTCATTTATTTGATAAATTCTAGTTGAACATCTATTATGAGTTAGACTCTGTTCCTACAGATACAAAATAAATCTCTGCCTTCATGGAGCTTACATTGTAGAATAAACTAGAATGTAAGTGGTCTAGAATACTTAATTTCAATGAAAATCACCAGTTGYTAAAGTGTACATCTCTGTTTTTCATTTATGTTAGTCTGAAAAAAAATCTGTATTTTATAGGCCAATCCACTAGTGTTGTTTTAAATTTTTGCTTATTTCCCCCATTCATTTTAGAGAATCCTTGTTCATTGAAGCATTTGTGCCGATTAAAAATTCGAAGACTTATGGGACTCCAGCGACTCTGCCAGCCAGCCTCCATGGAAAAGCTTCCACTACCACCAGCTATTCAAAGATAYTTATTATTTAAAGARTATGATCTCTATGGACAGGAGCTAAAATTGCCATAGCTTAAAAATAACATTTTTAAATKTGATTTTTAAATGTTTTAAAATGTGATTCCTCCAGAGAATTTATTGGGATCATATTACAACTTTAAGTGTATTTAAATCCATTGAGAATGTTRTAGGTGTACTGTGTCCCTATGGAAACACCATATTGTACATAAAGACCTTGCCTTATCTTAAGACAGTCAGTATTCTATATYTGAATTTCTAATGATTGTCTTCACTTGCAACAAGTCTTTAAATTCTCCCTATCAATTGGCTCCTACAATATGCACTATAAGGGTCTGTGTTTAGAAAGCAAATAACCACTTTCTCAAACCCATACCTCACACCTGTTGCTGGCCCATTTCTCTTCTCTGAGAGCCCCTCTACACCAAAGGACTCCTGCCTGCCTGCAGGTTCACACACTATAATCTGGCACTCTGCTGTTTCCTCTCCTACTCTTCTCAAGGTCCKTCACCACCTCCTTATTGCTGAAGTCAATGAGCACCTTTCAGTTCCTCTTTTGGTTGATTCCTGTGCCATCTGACACTGTTGCCTGCTGTTTCCTTGAAGTTCTACCTCCTCCCTGGTTTTCACTATATGAATACCTTGTTCTCTAAGCTGTCCTTCTACCTCTTTGGATGCTCTATCTCTGGCTTCTTCCTATGACTCTCAACTCCTGCCAATCCTTTAGTAATATTTTCTCTAGAAAATTTCATCCACTTGTATGATTGCAATAATTTTGTTGAAAACCACAGCACTTACATCCAAAAAAAGCTTTCTCTCATGTGCCTGAGACCTGTGTAGGCAACTAGCCCAATGAACATTTGAGCCTAAAGACACCTCAAATTCAACATGTCCCCAATCAAACTCATGACCTTTCTCTTACATTTTATAATGTAACAGCACAATGATTAACTTAGTTTTCAACAGAAAAAGACTAAACATCAGGCTTGACCTCCTCGTTTCCTCACCCAGTGTAACTGATCACCACATCCTAAAAARAATGTATTGCTTGAAGTGATCTTTCTTTTACTCAGTTCCACCAGCTTGGTGCTAAGCCTGGCTCGGATCCTTTTCCTAGGATAATTCAGTGCTGCTTCTCTAGCTTGCCTGCTGGCTGTCTTCCCCTATCCCACACACATTCTGCACACAGCATCCCAGAATGATCTTTTATAAATGCAAGAAGTTTCACTGCCTTGCTTAAAACCATTCCCATTGTTCATAGAATMAAAGTCCAAAGTTCTTATGTGGCCCTTCACTATCTCACTCCTACTGCCTTCCTCTTTATGTCTCCCTTTCCTCTCTCCCCTTTAACTGTATTATATGCTTTCTAGAAGTTTATTCATTGAAAAGTGAGTGATTCCCAGACTTCAGGGTTATATACGCTAATAGATTTGTTTCATTAATTAAAAAAAATAGAGTCATCTATCTTTTAAAAAACATATATATATATATATATATATATATATATATATATATATATATATATCCTTTACGATCTCCATCATTTCATGAAGAGAGCATATTTTAGGATGACAGAAAATAAGACGATCATAAATTCAGTCATAAAAATTGAGTAACTTTAGCTTTGAAAGAACTTATTGCACTGTCCTCGTTTCCCTGTTGATGGGTGAAAATTTCCCTGCGGCCCAGCAAGTATCTGAGRATGTTTGTTTGGGAATCACTGCTATAGAATAGACTATGCTCTCTCACACCCAGAGGTCTTGGTATTTCCTTCTCCCTCCACCTGGAACCCTTTCTCTACCTCCTTCTGGCCCTCTTCACCTGACTGACTGACTCACCCTCACCCTGCAGATCTCAGATGAGGTGTTACTTCCTGGAGGAGGGAAGGCTCTGGCCTTAAACTTCTCAGTCTGTACTGTAGGAGCCTCTGTTCTTGCCTGTCTTTCCCACTAGACTGGAAGCTCTGTGAGGGGGGCCTCTGTATCATTGTGTTTCCCAGTGTGTCCTMAGGGTCAAACACATTCTCTAAAAATGTGAATGTTATATAAGACCCAGACAAAAATAATCAGTGACCTCATGGTAAAACGATAGTTTTGAATTTCCAAATTGATTGCACAATCTTAGTAATATTTTAAATTTATTATTCTTTGATTTTGAAAATGTATTTTCTTATGTTTATTTTTACCTTGAGTGACTATATTTTTCAATAGTAGCACCTCATTGATTTGTAAAATTTTCATATTGCATTTAGCTTATCTTTAAAGATAAATGAGTATTTAAAAATGCTGTATAATTAGGCCTATAGTTTTATCTTGTATTTCCTAGAGGACATATTTTTATAGAAATTAAACTTCATGTATTTAATTTGAACTGTARTGTTTTGTGCACAGGATTGCATAATTTCTTTGTTGGTTTCTTATTTGTGGTTAAGATGCATTGTTGTCTACAAATATTTCTCTAAATAAATAAAATATAATAATGAGGTTGTAAGTCTGCTATATGATACTTCAGATATTAAACTAGTACACTTAAACCTTGACATTTTCTCTAATGTATTTTTAGGTAAATATATTCAAGAAATGTTTTGATATAAAGATGTGAATTAACTGCACATGCTATAAGTTATCAAAGTGGTTATTTTGCTATTTATGAAGCAGAAAGAAAATGTAGATTAAGAAACTGAGGTATTTGTTGTATTCAGAACAGATTGATCTTTTGCTCACCACATTTTGGACTTTTCTAGCAGTGTTTTTGTTTTGGAGAGAACTGGATGGAAAAAGTAATTAATCCCTATCTAATTAGGACTCTGTTTCTCCTAGAGTGTGAGTGTCACTCTATCTGGGAGAGGGCAACAGCTGCTCCTCCCAGTCAGCCCTAGGAGAGCCAAACATTCAACAGTGGTGCCAGTTCAGCCACTGTGGCCTGACACGGTGGAGCCTGGAGGCTGTGGAGCCGTCAGTGGCTGCTTATAGTCACTGCAGAGCTTTTGCTTTGTGTCATCCAGAGAGCTGGATGGAAAAGAGCAGATCTGAACTCTCACTTGGATGTTATTTAGCTCTCTTGTAGACCAAAATCAAAGAATATATCCATTTCTGGATAAAAAAATAATTGAAAGATGCACATTGAAGTTGAGTGCCTCCTGAAGAGTATAGTTCAATCATTTTAAGTAATTACAGAACACATTTCCAGGCAATAGAAAAACAGTGCAGAAGACAGCAACTGTATAATTGGGCAGCAAATATCCCTAGGTAACACCTCTTGGATGCAGGCTTTTGAAAAATCAACACGTAGGGACTCAACAGCCTGGAAAACACAAGATGGATTCTCATGATGGAGAGTATGCACTTAAGCCTTTTTGCTGACACTGACAACAAAATTTTTATCCAAATTAGTATTGAAATTTTGGTTCCAAGTCATATTTCCTCTACATATATAACTACCTTCCAAATCTGAAATTATTTAGAACATATAAAAATTTAAAGATACTCCAAATTATTTATTAAACAAAATGAATCTTATATATGTACACATATATACACACTTATGCATAAGTACATGTGCTTGACCTACATATTTAATATAATGCACACATATGTGTACACATGCTTTGTAGTATGTCRTGTTATTTCAGCGTCATGTAATGCAGTAGGCAAGGACATGTRCTTTGTTTTCAAAGACATTATGTTAAGTGAAATGAGTCACAGAAAGACAAATACCACATGATCTCACTTATATGTGGGAATCTAAAAAAAGCAAATTCCAAAGCAGAAAGTACAATAGTGGTTACCAAGGATTGGGACGTGGGGGAGGAATGGGAAGATATTGATCAAAAGTATACAAAGTATCAGTTAGACAGGAAGAATAAGCATTAGACATCTATAACAGATTGACTATAGTTAATAACCATGCACTGCATGTTTGAAAAAATCACTAAAAGTATATTTTTATATGTTCTCACCATTAAAAATGATAAATATGGGAGTAAAGTCATGTTTACTACCCATTCCATAAAAAATGTATACACATTTCAAAATAGGTTGTGCATCATAAAGTTATACGTTTCTGTCAATTAAAAAACATAAAAAATGCAAAAGATACTGATTACCTTAAATATCATAAGTGAAGCATCCAAATAAATCTTATTAAAATACAGTTTAAACCATTTCTTAACATTTTAAAAAATACAGTTTGAACCAAGCTCTGCAAATTATATTTTTTTAAAGAGAGAGTGAGAGAGGGAGAGAGAGAGAGAGAGAGATAATTTTTTTATCCTGAACAAGATACAAATTTATGATGCATTATGTCCTTCACCGAATAAGTGCATGTGAAACCCAACCTTTCATTATTATTATTACACAGTGGCAGTGGCAGTGCCAGAGCTGCAAAAGTCAACATTCTTGGTCTTTTTTTTTTTTTTTTTTGGTACCAGGTATTTAACCCAGTGGTGCTTAACCACTGAGCCACACCCCCAGCTCTTTTATATTTTGTTTACAGACAGGTCCTCACTAAGTTGCTGACACTGGCTTTGAACTTGTGATCTTCCTGTCTCAGGCTCCCGAATTGCTAAGATTATAGGTATGCACCACCAACAACAACCTTGGTCTTATAGTACAGGACCACAGGTGGTCATGATTAGATCTGAGAATATGAAAAATAATGTTAAGGATGCAYTATAATAATGTTAAGAATGCAAATAATTTCACTATCATCTCAAAATTATTTGACAACATTCACAGGATGAAAACTCAGCAGAGAACTGTCCCTAGCACATAAAATCTCACATCTTCTTTTGCTTTGTAAAATCCTGATCAACAATTATTTACTAGTGGAAAAAGGGCTTCTCAGAGGAAAAGATGTGTAGAACGAGTCAACTTATTTGACCTCAGTGACCATGTTATATAATATCAGGGAGTGCTAGAGATGTCTGGGGATTTGCTGTTTKCAAAAGGAGATAGTCTAGTAATTTGAATCTGGGCACTGAGTGCCTGAGTTATAACGCTGGTCTAGCCAGTAATTCCACCAGAGGTCCTGGACAGGAATTCACATTCTGTGCTTCAGATTCCAGCAAATGGGGCAGCCATTGCTCTCAATCTCTAAGTCTTCCATACCCGGAACTGCCAGTGAGACTAAACTACAATTTCCTGGAAGCAACCTATAATGCTGGATGAGGTAGAAGGTTGGAGGGTACCAAAAGTGACACTTATCTTAGAGTTGATTCAGTGTTAGATACCAATATCCCATTTTTTTTACCTCTATTTTTTTTTGTGTGTGTGTGTGTGTTTGTGTGTGTTACCCAATTGGATTAATATTGTTGAATGAGGCCACAATTTCACTCACTTTTGACTTGAAAATGCAAACTTGCTTAGGCTTTTCTCTGACCCCTCAACCTTCACCCAGTTCCCTTCTTAGAGGTACCCAAGAGGCTAAATTGAGTGTAGGAGTTGGAGGGTGCCCTGATTAAATCTGAACATTGACGATACAGAGCTGTACACTTCTGACACAGTGAGTCTTGTATATCTGATAACCCGATATTCAACAGGAAACACAGACTGTTATCTGAAGATTAAAATAAAGTTTAAAAAGTAAGTACACTTAAGAGAGGTAGGATGATATTAAAACCTTTCTAAGTAACAGGCTTTCATAAGAGAAAGACAGTGAARACCCCATAGGGGAAAAAAAAGCATAAATATTTCCTAGAGCCCAAAGGCTAAATCATTTTTCCATGRATGTGGAAAGAATCTTGAGAAACATCTGGTCCACTTCATCACATCTGGAAAGACTGCTTGGATAGCAAGGTCTCTCATTTCCCCTGTGTATTACACAAAGCACTTTACATRCATTGTCTCATTTAAGTCTTATAAGCACTCTAGGAACAGAGCAGAAAAGATCTGGATTACCTCCACTCTCTATAAAAGGAGATAAATCTTGCAGCAATTAAGATAGTAAATGCCAGAACTAGGATTCAACTTGGGATTCATGATTCCAAAGCCAAAGCTCTTTTCATCTCACCAGTTTTAGTTCATTGGGAATTAGGAGGGCATCRTCCATTATACCCCAAAAATGAAAATAACTTCAATGCCCATTAGCAACGCAAAACTCAATGTTGCATATTCCTACAATGGAGTATGATTAGTCAACATGCTACAACATGCATGAACTTCAGAAACATTAGGCTAAGTGAAAAGAAGCCAGGCACAAAAGACCACAAGCTGCAGAATTCCAGTTATTTAAAATATTCAAACAAGGAACAGAAAACAGATTAGTAGTTTCCTGGGGGTGGGGGTAGGGAAAAAAGGTTGATGGCAAATGGACACAAAGCATCTTTTGGGAGCAACAGAAATGTTCTAAAATTGGTTTTTGGTGAGGGTGGCACAACTTGGTAAGTTTACTTTTAAAAAAATCATTAAACTTCTACACCAAGGTGAATGTTTTTTATAGCGTATAAATCACATCTTAAAAATTACCTTTTTCTTTCTTGTGTAGGTGTGCAGGTGTGTGTTCTGGGGAATGAAATCAGGCCTTGCACATGCTAGGCATGTACTCTATCACTGAGCTATGTCCCCAGTCCTTTTTATTTTCACTCTGAAACACGACCTTACTAAATTGTCCAGACTGTCCTCGAACTGGAAATCCTCCTGCCTCAGCCTCCTGAGTAGCTGGGATTTTAGATGCGCATCACCACACCTGGTTAAGAGAGAGAGCGGGTGGGATGAAGAAATGGAAAGCAAAGAAAAGGAAAGAAGAGGAAAGAAAATCACTTCCAAATAAAATAAGAGGCACATGTYTCTGACAGGTGAATGCTGGATGCTCTGTTTACAGCCTTGATGAGGTGGTCCAGCTAAACAATGGAGTCTTCCAGCTCAGAGGAAAACATTCRGCTCTTATCAATCAGGGCATGATTTATAAGGTTTGCTATGCTAATGAGACCATTAGAAGCCAAAGATGAAGCCTTCAAGGGCTGCACCGTGCTTGCTGCCTTCACTGATCCTACTGGCCCTCACCCCAGCTGAGCTCTGCCAGTCTCCCACATTTGCATGCTGGTTGTAAT